TCATTCTGCACTGGATGCAAAAGTGTCCAAGGGCATCTTCTTTGAGAAAACACCAAATGACAGGAAATGCCTGTGCTGCAGAGGGTGCTGGAGACTCAGGGGCCCTAGAGTCAGAAACATAGGATAACAAGTAGGGTCCTGACATCAGACAGGGTCACCTGGTCAAGGATATGAGGTTTCTAGAAAAGATTTATTTCCTCTCCTAGCTCCTGTAGTAGTCTGAGATTGACTTCTTCCTGGAGTCATCCCTAAAGGGTGAAGTCCTAAGACCTTGCCCTCTCAAAAATTTGCCTGGGTTGCCAGCTTAACCTGGTCCAAGGCATTTGTCATGGATTGAATTGTCCTCCCCACCCCCACAAAATATGTGTCAACTTGGCTAGGCCCTGATTCCCAGTATTGTGTAATTGTCCACCATTTTGTCATCTGATGTTATTTTCCTGTGTTGTAAATCCTATCTCTATGATGTTGATGAGATGGTATTAGCGGCAGTAACGTTAATGAGGCAGGACTCAATCTACAAGATTAGGTTGTGTCTTAAGTCAATCTCTTGAGATATAAGAGAAGTGAGCACAGAGACACAGGCACCTCATACCATCAAGAAACAAGAGCCAGGAGAATAGCACACCCTTTGTACCCAGGGTGCCTGCACTAAGAAGCTCCTCCACCAGGGAAGATTGATGACAAGGACCTTCCCCAGGGCCGACAGAGACAGAAAGCCATCCCCTGGAGCTGGCATCCTGAATGTGGACTTCTAGCCTCCTAGACTGAGAGAGAACAAATTCTTCTTTGTTAAAGCCATCCACTTGTGGTGTATCTGTTACAGCAGCACTAGATAACTAAGACAGCATTCATGCCATCAAAGACTATGAAGGCCATGACAGCATGGTTACTGGGTAAGCCAAGTAGCAGCAACCGCCACCCACAGGCCTCCCCCTGAGTAAGTTATCCATCATCTCTCTGAGGGAAGGCTTGTAAAAGGGGAAGCAGATGGTGAGTCCCACACTGCTCTCGAAAAGTGACTGGATGTTAGGGTTTTGTGCTGGTGTGTCGGATCCCTAGAGAGACCAACACTGTCACCACCTCATGTTCAAGAAGCTACGGCTGCTGGCTGGTATTGACAAGTCAGGGCAATATTGCCAACTTGGACAACTTTGCTAAAGCCACCTCTGATTCCATATCAAAAATGTACTGCTATTATTCTCCTGACTTCTGGAAAGAGACTGTGTCCTCTATATCTCCTTACCAGGAATTCACTGACCATCTTGTAGAGTTGTCATGCCCGAATTCACCGTAGAGAACCCAGTTTCCTACTGTGGCTATCACAAAGTGTTTTAACATAAGCAAAACTGAAGAGAAATTAATCTGGGGGTAAAAAACATACTCATAGCAAGGCATTTCCTAACTCTAGGCAGCACCACTCTGTCATATACAAAGCAAGATCACAACACCCCCTGCAGATCTCTTAATCTTTTCACTACCACCACTACCACCACCAAAAAACAAAAAAACCTGAGCTCTCAAATAATGTTGGGATGGCTGGCTGTTAGCTGGTCCACAGATTCAGTACTTTGAGTCAGAAATGTTAGCCCCTTCCACAATATCTGAGACAATTTAGTGCTGAGTCATTTTCAATCCTACTACTCTTGTGTGATACTCAAGAACCTCCCACTGACTACCAAAGAGAACCACAATCACGTTAGACCAGCCCACAAAAACCGTCCAGGGTGCAAAAGCAAAGGAGTATCTAATTTAGAGTAACAGGAAAAAAATCTTTATAGAAAGGGAGACTTTGTGGTTTTTTAACATGATTCATCATTATGAATTTGGATTAGAGTCTCATGGGGCAATAATGATCGTCTCAGAAGACTTTTAAAACCAATCATGAGGTCTAGTAACTACTATGGACACAACCTACCCTAGCTGGCATCTTTTTATCAAGAGACTACGTGGGATTTTTTTCCTTTTTCCACGATGACTTTTAGGACAGGATTGTTTGAAAAGGGAATTAATTAAATGATTATCTTAAAAATCAGGATAATAGTTACTTCTAAAGGGGTGGAATGAACTGCTTGGCAGTGCTGCAATGTTTATTTTATGGTTACATGTGCGTTTCTTCATTATTATTTATTATACTGTACATATCTGCATATTTTTATATTACATCATACTCTAAATAGAAGGAAAAAAGGACTTACTAATTTTTAAATAAAATGCTACAGGATGCGTAAAGCTTGAAGGTCCTAAAGGGCAACCAATGTAGAGGCAAGGAGCCCTCAGGCTCAAGTCACCTGCTAGAGAGCCTCTATTGTGATTCTAAGAGAAGTGTGACTACAATGACTCAGAGAGGCTGAAGCTAGTATTTAACTGTGTTAATTCAAGAAAAAGCCTACCAGCCTCTCATGTTTTATGACTTCATGATGGGCTGAAACCACTCAATGGTTAACATTCACAGTAACCCACTGAAAACCACAAGAACAGCAAGTATAAAAAATGTAGAACTGTAAATAACTAAAAATGAAAAGTTAGAGGAATAGAGATTTGTTTAGTTTTTTTCTTAAGACATTTCATCCTACTCAGGAGCTTGGTGAGGTGAGAGCAGAATGAATGTACTCTAAAAAGAGTAGTTTTCATGGACCACAGCTACCAAGGCCTCCACCAGACCAAGTCCAGTACAGCTAGATGATGCCTGGCTACCACCACTCACTGCTCTGACCGGGATCACAACAGAGGATTCTGGACAGAGCTGGAGAAAGATGTAGAACAAAATTCCAACACACACAAAAAAGACCAGATTTACTGGCCTAAAGGAGACTGGAGAAACCCTGAGAGTATGGCCCCCAGACACCCTTTTGCTCAGTGGTGAAGTCACTTCTGAGGTTCACCGTTCAGCCGGGCATTGGACAGCCCCATAAAACAAAACAAGACTAATGAGGCACGGCAGTCCAGGAACAAGGGCTAGAAGGCAGAAGGGGACAGGAAAGCTGGTAATAGGGAACCCAAGGTTGAGTAAGGACAGTGTTGATGTGTTGTGAGGTCATTAACCATTGTCATATGGCAACATGTATATTGTTTAATGAGAAACTATTTTGTTCTGTAAACCTTCATCTAAAGGGAGAATAGCAGCACAACTGGAGGAGCATAGTCAATGTCTCTGAACTGTGCAGGTAGAAATTTTTGAAATGGTGTATCTTTGGCTACGTATATTTTCACACACACAAAAAAAAGGTTGAGAAGGGAGAGGGTTGACATGTCATGGGGTTGTTAACCAATGTCATAAAACAATATGTGTACTACTGTTTAATGAGAAACTATTTGTTCTGCAAACCTTCACCTGAAGTACAATTAAAAAAAAAAAAGAAAAGAAAAATCAATGATGATTGGGGCAAAGTTTCTTAAAACTAATAGATATTATCTCCTCCTTCAGAGCTTTATAGGCCTGAAGGACTGCCAGTGCTCATAAAATTAATAAACCATCTAAGGGGCAGAAGAAAAAAAAATACAAATAGATAGATAGATAGATGATAGACAGACAGACAGATAGATAGTTTTCAAGCTAAGATTCCGATTCACTAGGTCTGGCATGGGACCCAAGAATCTGCATTTTTTTTTTAAAAAAAAAAAAACTCCCCTGGTGATTTTGATCTTCCAGACTGGGAACCAATGTATAAGACACCATGATTACATCCCCAAGAAAGCCAGGCTACCCAGTGCTTTTCCTTTTAGGTTCGAATTGGAGGTCTAGTTTTCTCCCTGACAAACTCACCTTTGGTTGGAAAGAACTGACAGCACCTGCCACCCACACACGTTTTAGAAGCAGTGTTTTTGTCTGCCATGTCCAAAGCACTTGTAGGGGGTGGTAGGACATTGGACATAAATGTGATTATATGAAAATCATAAGGATATGCATCAAAATGTCAACAGTGGTTATCTGGTGGCAAATGACTTACTTCCCTTGTACTTTATTTCCAACTTTTCTACACTGAATTTCTAATGTAGTAAAAAACAAAAATTAATATTTACAGATTGATGAGACAGTCTCGTCTTGCCATCCGGTGTCTTCTTCCGGACCTGAGCACAAGCACTTGTCCCACCCTGATGGCCATCTGCGAGAATGAGCAACATGGCCCTGCCTGGACCATGGACAGCAATCAGGGTAGGGGGAGGGGTGAAAGGGCAAGAAGACCCGGGATAGGCCTGGGCTCCCAGGGCACATTATGTCCGAAGTCAACTGCTTCCTAAGGGGTTACTGGAGAAATACAAAAAGCTTTCTAACCCTTTTCCTTCCCCCACCTCCAAAAGCTCTGACTCTCCACTTAAAGCAGCCACTTGCTCTTTAGATCTTCTTTTAAAGATTTATTTATTTACTGTACAAAATATTTACATCATCAGCTGCAATTGTCTGTCTGGCCTGTCGTCTGGCCTGATGAATTTGCAGCAGGGCTTGTTCTCTGCCAAAGTTTCTGAAGCACGCCGACATTCTCCTTGGTGTTCACTGATGCCTGGTCTCCTTCAAAGAAGCTAAAAGCTGGCCCCAAGTACCTGAGCCACAAGGGAATAAATAACAGAACTGACCAAAATAAGAAATGTGAATAGAAAACTGCTCAAGAAATAACAGACACTCTCCCTTCTCTCTGACATATTATACCTTTTCCTCATACTGGCTATTACCAAAGCAGGATTAGAAAAAAAGTTAAGAGGCCAAAAAGAGCAAAAATCCTTTTGAATAACCACCACAGGGATGATGCTGCCCTGGTTGGGATGCAATGATGACCAGGGTTCTCTGAAAAAGAGCTACGACCAGAGCTGAAAATGACAGACCTGGCCAAGAAAGTCAATTTCATCTCTGGCTTCAGTCTCTAGAAGGCCGCCGGAGTTGTGAATGCAGAATCCATAAGTGAAACAACTGCCAAAGACAGCAAAGCCAGCCCACGTGCCCCAACCTGGAAAACTCTATGTGGGCCTGGGGGGCAGCATCGTGTGTTCGTGAGGACTAAACTTGCCTGTGCATATTCCAGGGGAAAAAACTGGGGCAAGCAGCAGCACCTTGTCCTGGTCCCTGAGGAGAGCAGTGACCACGTGGCATGGAGGATCCTGGGGTGTAGAGGCCCTGATGCTGGATCCTGGACCCCAACGGTGAGGGAGCTCAGCACCCATGCCAAGAAAGGACAAATGACGACTGCAAAAGAGTCAGGCAGGAACCGCGGCAGTTCAGGAGGGCTTGCTCCTTGCAATCTCCACCCAGCCTGGGGGGAGGGAGGGCTCCGACATGCTTCCAGGAGGCCAAGGCATTGCCACAAGTCCTGCCTTGTCTCAGGACTCTGTGTACTTGCTGGGTTTTGGCAAAAAGATGGCTTGTAATATTCTCAGAGTTGAGTGCTCCACTGGGAATGGTAACTTGCAGCAAAGCCTTCTTAAAAACAGAAATTTGGGGAGTCAATGAGATTTTGAATCTTGAAAAAATTTTATCCAAATTTTAATGAAAAAGGATGGTGTCATCTTTCAAGAGACAGCTGCAGGTTCTCTTTAATCATCGTCCCACTGTGAACCTAATATATCATCTTCCCTCCTCAGTTCCCCTTCCAGGTACCTGATGGAATGGATAGAAGTCACTGGGACAGCTAGGTATTTACTGTGTGACAACAGCTCTGTGTCTGTTCCCAGTGTCCTGACCCCAAGGGAAAGGAACTGTGGCAAGCACTTAAACTCTTGGTCCCTCTTCCCTTGCCTCAGTGCTGCCAGAGAACACCAAGCAAAGAGAGAATCAGGGATCGCTGGCATGCTATTCTCACTGTCTCAATCCTTTGCTACAAAATTTTCCTCAGCAAAAATCTAGGAGAGAGACCTGGTGGGACCCTCTGAAGTCATGTCAGAGAAGAATCCTCAGCTCTTAGCAGACTGTGTAACTCGGAGGTAAGCGGCCAGGCCCAGCCACACCTCAATGTAAGGAACAAACTCGGGGAAGAGCATCAGTAGTCCAAGCCAGCTATATGCCTAAGCATACCCCATAACCCTAAAGGACGATCATGTTCAGCAATGGAAGCTACAGTCCAGCTATCATTCACATTCTTAGGTCTTCTGTCTGCTTTTCTTACCTGGCTCAAATTCAAGAAAAAGCTTAGAGAGTTCTTCTTTATGGATTACTAATCATTTCCAGAAACGCCTGCAGGGAAAGCTCCTTTCCAGTTCTGATACCACAAAAGAAAAGATTCTTTTGTGCTATGGGTTCCCATTAGAGGTAGTCCAGTGCCATGGCCTGTGCCTGCCATTGTGCAAAGGGATGAAACTAAAGATTGCTCATGTGGGTCACTTCCTCTCTGTGCTTCTCCTGGCTCCTGATGAGAAGAGGCAAACACCCTCCCTACAGAGAAGGACTCACATACCAGTCAGCACTGAGGGCCAAACAAAGTACCTCCAAGGACCACTAGCAGAGGGAGATGGAGTAAGCGTGGGCATCAGGCTTTCTGCACACCAGATTTCCAACAGAGCTGAGTCCTTTGCGCAACCTCCTTCAGCTACTGAGGCAGCTCCACCGAGATCTTCAAAGAACCAAATAAAATTACAGCAGCATGGTCCTCTTCTCAGGAATGAACGCACAGCCCAGATTATGTACCATGCCAAAGTAGCCTGTGGTGGATATGGACAGGAAGGGAGTGAGGTAAGAATAAGGCCTGTAGATGACAAAATACTCCAGACACAGGGAACATGCGGCATCTTTTGGCTGATGGTTACGTGAGTGTCAGGGCCAGAGGTTACAGTGTCTGTAATGTGTGCCCACGTGCTCCAGTGAGTGCAGGAGCCGAGTGGATGACAGGAGGGCAATCAGAGCATGCCAAAGCCTTCGCAGCCCTCGCTGATGGCCAGCTGTAGCATCCTGTGCACCTCTTCATACGAGTCATATGTAGGGAGGCACAGCTGGTTAAAACTGGAAAGGCAAGGAGAGAAGTGATTAACTCCTACCACCAGAACACTGGCAAGGGCTGGAAAAATAATCCCAAGAGCATGCACTGAGTGGTCAGATACCTACCACGTGTGTGCAGTAGGTAGCGTGCTATGGGTCGGAGCAGCAATAATCTGGAATGAGGGGCACAGGGCAGCAAAGCCTCCAGGTGGTAACTGAGAGGAGCCTGTTGTGAACTGAAGCAGCCGAGCCAGCTCCTCCTGGGTCAAACTGGAAACCACGGTCCAAAACCACCTCATGACCTGGCAGGGAGAGCACAGGCTGGGATCACATACAGTATGCAGCCTAGGATCTGAGCCCTGAACGGGAGTGTGCCCCAGTGGCAGCTCTGAGGACATAGGTAGGAATGGTCAGAGTTGACAGCCTCTTCAGGAATTTAGATTGTTGCCCAGTCAGAAAGGTAGTTACTGATTGCTTGGTTCTACTTCTTTGCGTTGCCAACTTACTGCTCCTGTTGCAGTTGGCATGGCAGCCCTTAGGGAGCAGGGCTCCATTCTGCCTGCACAACCAACCACTTGTCTTTATGTCATTCTTTTCCAGTCAAACATGTCCACCTCTCTGACTCCGCTACTTTTTTCTTCTGAAACTTTTTTTTATAACACACTACACAAAGCCAACTGAAAGAAGTTTGGCTCACTTACCTTCTCTCTGAAATGCCATGAACCACCAACCACCACTGCATGGGCTTTGAAGTCAGACACACTGATATCTCCAGTCCCACACATCAGCAGCTGAAGAAAGGCAGTCAGGTGTTACTAGGACAGTCAGAGGGACAAAGATCCAACATAAGGTCAAAATTACCTATGCTAACATGCAAAATGCTAAACAGAAAAATGTCAGGAAAAAGACATAAGGTGAGGTCATAATGCCAGAATAATGCTTTAAGAAAGTCAATTACAACAGGCCAGTGGTTCCTACCCAATGCTGGGGGAAACTCAGAACTTCTGAAAACTATATAGGTACCCGGACTCTACCCCAGACCTACTGAATCAGAATACCTAGAAGTGGAGTACGTGCATTTTGAAAAAGTTTCCCAGGTATTTCTGCTGAGCACCCGATTAAGAACTGCTGTTGTGGATGATTTTTAATTGAAACAAAGGACAAAAAAGAACCAAGTGTTTCCTGTTAGTCTGCTCTGGACTAAGCCTGAGAATACTAGGGAGAAAAGACAGACCCTTTCCCATTGAGGAAGACCCCCAGCCCCACTGATGAACTTGCCAGATGGCCTTTCCTTTTTCCCTGGATCCTTCCTTCTTTTCTGGTTTGAACATTTACTACTTTTCCTTCAGCCCTGCCTCTACTTGAGCCCCAAAATGAGAACATTAATGACAAGAAAGCCCCAAGCATAAAGTTGATATCCTAGTTTGGTTCAGGACTCAGCATGCTACTTAGCAGACTGTGAGTACTCATCCAATAGTTATAAAACATGACACATCCTAATCAGAGACAAGAAAAGCCCAAATCAAGCCTAAGGAGCTTTGGCTCCTTCAAAAAGAACTAGCTAAGCTCATGAGTATCTACGAGCAGGATGTGGAACAACTGTAAGACACTGTGTTCTTCCTTTCTACTCACTTTTAACAACTATTACAAATGCTTTGCTGCATGATAAAACAACATACACCAGTAGCTATTCCTCAGCCCCCAAAATGACAGCACTAGACAACGTATCTATCTAGAAACTTTATAAAAGCTGAGGTCTGGAGAGTTTGCATTTCATATTAGAAGGTACAACATTTGATGAAAATTGCATAAGACTTTGATTCTTATCTCTAAGCCAGTTCTGTGAATAAGAATAAAAAGCGTGCAAGACCATAAGAAACTTTTTTTTCTTCTTTTTTTAAAGAGCTACCTCCCCGCAGGCAACAGTTTGCAGAAACTCACTCCTTGTAAAGGCTATGGGAAGTTAAAACTACTCACTTGCATTGTATGTATCATCTATGAGCAGCAAACAAAGACACACGGATTTCCTTTTTTTGCCCACACACAATATGGACTTCAATTGTGCTAATTATAGAATGGTATTTAACATGTTGAAGCCATGCTGGCACAGTAGCTAAGAGCTCGGCCACTAATCAAAAGCGTACAGTTCGAATCCATCAGCGCGCCTTGGAAACCTTATGGAGCACTTCTACCCTGTCCTATAAGGTAGCTATGAGTCAGAACTGACTCGATGATAACGGGTTTGGTTTTTTTTTTTTTTTTGTTTATTTACCATGTTATAGTCATTTTCTATATGAAGAAGAATGTGGCATTAGGATTGGAGGAAGACACATTAACAGCCTGCATTATGCAGATGACACAACCTTGCTTGCTGAAAGGGAAGAGGACTTGAAGCACTTACTGATGAAGATCAAAGACCACAGCCTTCAGTATGGATTACACCTCAGCATAAAGAAAACAAAAATCCTCACAACTGGACCAATAAACAACTTCATGAGAAACGGGGAAAAGATTGAAGTTGTCAAGAATTTCATTTTCCTTGGATCCACAATCAACACCCATGGAAGCAACAGTCAAGAAATTAAAAGACGCACTTGCACTGGGCAAATGTGCTGCAAAAGACCTCTTTAAAGTGTTGAAAAGCAAAGATGTCACCTTGAAGGCTAAGGTGTGCCTGATCCAAGCCATGATGTTTTCAACTGCCTCCTATGCATGTGAAAGCTGGACGATGAATAAGGAAGACCGAAGAAGAACTGACGCCTTTGAATTGTGCTGTTGGCAAAGAATATTGAATGTACCATGGACTGTCAAAAGAACGAACAAATCTGTCTTGGAAGAAGTACAGCCAGAATGCTCCTTAGAAGCAAGGATGGCAAGACTATGTCTCACATACTTGGGACATGTTATCAGGAGGGATCAGTCCCTGGAGAAGGACATGCTTGGTAGAGGGTCACCGAAAAAGAGGAAGATCATCAACCAGATGGACTGACACAGTGGCTGCAATAATGCGTTCAAGCATAACAACGATTGTGAGGATGGCACAGGACCGGGCAGTGTTTCGTTCTGCTGTACACAGATTTGCTTTGAGCTGGAACTGACTTGATGGCACCTAACAACAACAGCCATTTTTTGCTTCTTATAGGATCTGAATAAGAATATATTAACTATATAATATTGTGGTCCAAAACTTTCAAATATGACACCTTTTGGTTTCTCTCTAACACTTTAATGTAGCTCCACGAGGGCAGGGACTCTGTCTCGGTCACTGCTTTGCCCACCTCCTCCCCCCGGCCCAGTGCCTCAAACATATATGTCATACAGGAGGCACTTAATAAACATTTTCTGAACAAGTAAGTTCTATCATTCCCTTAAATCAACTTTAAATGTCATCAGGATTTTATGAAGACTGTAGACAATACCAAAATTCTTTACTACTCAACCAGTATCAAGAATATTTGATGAATAAATGAATATTACTATTAGTTTTTACAAATAGTAATTAGTATTACATAATTCATTTTACAAATTCATGTTACGAATAAACTTCATAAATAGTTATGTGCTAGTTTTTCATATTCACATTCTCATTTTTAAAAAGCTGAAGAGAGGGTCAATGAGTAGAAGGGTAACAAGAGTGAAACCAACTCTTGCATAAAGGGCTTTCCTACCACATCTCAGAATAGAAGATACAACAAGCTGGTTCCTTGTGAGCACATGAAAACTCTAAGTCAAGAACAGGAGTTTGCAACTGTTAAGAACTTACCTCAAGCTCATTCTCATCAAAAATAGCCAAAAGGTTTTCCGGGACCAACTCATTCAGGCCTAAAACAAAGTAGCCAGGTTAAAGCCATATCCACAACATGGATATAGGTATTTTAATATCAAGGCCAAGAGTAGACAGGATCCCACCTTTTAGAAAATGTTCCACCTCCTCTTTCACTTGACTGGCCAGTCGATATTGGGCCAGCAAATTTAAATAGAAGATTTTATTTGCATTGGTGACTGGGATTTGAGCTCCACCTGTCATGAGTTCTACAACCTGAAGTAGGAGGCAAAAGACAGAGAAAGAGGCTGTGGATGGGAGTTTTCAAGGTGATTTATCTACCCAGTATGTTCCACAAACACAGCATTACTGAACTCCATCACAGTGCCAACCACAAGTTTCTGCTGTTCATTCGGCTTCTCAACATATTTGGTTTTATTCAGTTACTAAGCTTCAAGGTTCTTACTACTGTTGGTGTATTCTACTAGCAACTATTTCTCAAGTGAGTATCTGAGTGAGTTCTTCTTTTACCTGGCTAAGTAGTGGTGATGCAAGAAGAAGATATTTTAATCTGCGATACAAAATTAAACCACTACTGACCTCATCTCTTAAACCCCTCAGCCAAATGCAAGTAAGTAAAGCCAGACAAGCAGTCAAGAAGTCTTTCTATGTCTCAGAAATTCTAAGATGGGAATAGTTGTTCCCTAACATTCTTTTACTTCCAATGTGAGTTTGTGGGAAGAGTCATGGCTTAAAACTCGGAAATCCTGGTTTCTGCTCTGCCTGATGTTAACTAGGACAGAACTTGGGTAACTTAGCCACTTAGACTCCTGATTTTCCTACATGTAAAGAAAAAGCTGTACTGTATGATTCTCAACTAGAAATTAACTGGCACCCTCCATTAAACAACTCCTAAGCGACTTTGAAGAAGCCCTAAGGTATAGTTTAAAACCACCCCCCCCAGACAATCTGTGTACAGTGATCAAGGTTGCCTCCACAGGTGAATAAAGGCATCTATTTAGTTATAAGCTCAGATTTTATGGCCTTAAGACAGCAAGGCGGAGGGAGCTCTTTATGCCAGAGCAGGGATTCTCAATAGATCCCAAAATGCAAAATCTAGGTTTTTACTTTTTTCTGTTATTTTGCACAATTTTTTTTTTTGTTGTTATCATGCACAATTCTGGGCACTTATTTTAAGTATGCATTTCTATCTAGTAGCCTAAGAAGTAAATTACTAAGATTTGGTATTCATTAAATCCACACTCCCTTGGGCCTAAGAACCCTAATTCAGTACTCTATTGACTCTAGCTGCCTTGCCAGGTCAGAAAGACAGACTCTAACCACATGTGTGCAAAAGCAGACAGCTACATTCCCACCATCTTCAGGAAGGAGATGTGATTACAGTACCGTGGTACTGGTGATGCTTTGAGTTGATCTCAATTTTTCAATCATTGTTATTTTGCTTTAGATTATCTATTACCGCAACTTTAGTGCCAACATTACCATTTTATACTGTTGAACCCCAAAATGTAAGCAGAACCACATTTGCATTAGCAATACTTTTGGTCAATAATTTTCTAATAACAGGTTTTAAGATATATAGGCATTGTGTACAAATAGGAGTCATGAACATCCTCACTACTAATGTTGATGTAGACACTGCCACTCCTTCTAAATCTGCTTATACACTTCATTGGTATCACTAAGCTCTTTTCCCACCTTCATCACTGGAAGGTAGGAATGGCTGGTATAAATGGGTACCTGTGTCATTTGCTCCACTCAAACGGGCCAAGATCAAAAAGTGGGCAATGCAATGCCTTAGAGGTGCACTGTCCAATATGGTAGCCACTAGCCACACATGGTTATTTAAATTTAAATTAATTAAAATTAAATAAAATGAAAAAATTCAGTTGTTTGGTCACACTAGCCACATCTCAGGTGTTCAATAGACAGCACAAATATAAAACATTTCCACCACTGAAGAAAGTTCTATTAAACAGTGCTGCCCTTGAGGACACCGAGGATATGGGACTCACAGACTCTGGTCCTCTTTCTCACCTTATCCAATTGACCTGATTTGTTATATTTCTCCTCTGCAAAGACCAGCTCCATCTCACTCATGTCATTGTTGAGAATGAAACAAACTTTAGATTTGTAGAATTCTGGATCATCTGTTTCAAAGTACTGAAGAGATAAAAAGACACAGAACAGAACATAAATACTCTTGCCCAGAAGTAAAATTTATAAGTGCTTGGAAAAATTTACTCCTTCAACCTTAGGAATAATAAGCTCAAGATAGAGAAATTTCAGCACTAATGACAGAGGCCTTACTAGAAAACACACACCTAAGACGTTACCTTGTAATGCATACGTAGTCCTATGATTTGGGCCAGGAAAGATCGGGTGAAGCGAGCTCGGACCAACTGCTTGTAGGCTCCTCCTAGAGAGGACTCATAGAGGCACTTGCCCACCAGCCGCCCCGCAAACTCATATATCTTCAGCCGCAGATGAGCAGGGCGATTAGGGTTGGGATGCACCTGTCAAAGAAAGAGACTGAAAGGCCCTAGACCATTTTTCTTCAGGCCTAATCCTGGAGAGACTCTTCTTGACCAGTCCCATTCTAAGGGAGCAAGAACTTTAGTGTGAGGATCAAAGAGCTCATCCAAGTGGCATCAGTCTTTTGGTATTCACCATGAGTAATTCAAAGTGACTAGAGGATAAAGGACAAAAATGCACTTATGTTAAGTTGAAGAATCTTATAATTTTTAGAGCTGAAACACTTATATGTGGTCCCTGGCTGAGTATGAATCTTAATCAGTTGATGATTCAATGCCTTTTCTCTAAGCCAGAGCTTCCCTCACCAAAGTCTACTTCTATACTCCTGACACCTCTGCCTATTCAAAGATCTAGAACAGAAAACAATTGTTTCACGTATGTTTTGAGAAAGTGGCATAATTATTATTATTATTACATTAATTAGTAGAATATCCATTGCATTATAATGTTTTTCAGTCACATAATATTCATCTGTCTGTATTTTCTCTTACTTTACAGATGAAATACTAAAGGCAAAGAGAAGGGAGGCAAACTGATAAGGTCACATTGTAAGTATCAAAATTAAGAACACAAAACAGGTTTGTCAGACTACCAGGACAGTATCATAACTTCAAACCCTCATTATTTTATCCATTATAACACACTCCCTATTTTCCACCTACCCACAGGGAAGTCACAGACTTACTAATGCTTGGTTGTTGTCACTGAATCGAGTGAAGAGCTGATTGGTGGTATCAAATAGTGCCTTGCAGATCAGCTCAAACCATTCCCGGCGAGGCCCTCCCCAGTCCAGAGCTGAGAAGTATAATAAAGACAAAAACTGATTCTGGCCTACCCCTTCTTTTCACTTTTGTTCTTTTATTCATCATTTTATACTCTCCACATTCCCTCCATCCCACCACCTTATTGTTTCCCCATTCCAATTCAACTAAAATGTGGACTTTTTAAAAAAATATTTATTTTTTGGAAAGTACACACAGCAGATCATACACCCATTCAGCAATTTCTACATGTACAGTTCAATGTCATTGTTACATTCTTCATGTTGTGTCTCCATTCTCGCTATCTCACCCCATATTGTTTCATCATCATTAACTTAAACTCACTACCCCCATAAACTACTCATCTATGCTTTAGAATTACCGTTGTCAATTTGATGTGACGTAGATAATTCTTTAAAAGAGTGTAATGCTCAAGGTGAACATTCTTTACTAATTCAGCTAAACTGTTGTTTAGTTTGAAGATGACTTCAGGGGACAGTTTCAGTTCAAGGCTCAAAAATTTTCTCAGGGCAACAGATCCAGGGGTTAAAATGCGGGCTTTTTTGAAGTCCTACCCCTTTCTGTAGGATTAAAGGTATTCTGATCACTAAGCTACTCCCCCCACAACCCCAGTGTGGAAACCCGGGAGAACAGAGATCCCAGGAAATGGACACTTCTCTTGGCTCTACACAGGTTACTTTGCCATTTTGGTCTGAACTCTTAGAGCTCCTCTACTCAGTCCCTATATGTCTCTACACTACAAGCTCCACCACGCCATCTGGCTGGTAAACACTACCTGTTTTTCTTGACTCATGGTTTCTTCTTCCCTCGGAAAAAAAGGGTTTTGTTTTGTTTTTTAAGGGAGGGGGTAAGAGAAAAGGTGAAAGTAGGGAGGAGAGTTTAGAAAGTTGAACATGAAATTTCAAAACTGACCTTCTTCATCTTGGAAAACCACTTCAAAATTCTTGCTCCAATCTGAGATGGAGAAATTCCGAGTGGCTTTCAGAGACTGGAAAGCAGTAAAAGGAAGGAAACTGTCAGAACACTGGCTGACATCCCTTGGGTGTTAAAGTCAAAAACACAAGAGCATTGCTGTTGTCCGTTTCACTAGCCATTGGTACTTGGACTAGACATATTAATCAGAAATATGCCTGAATAATGCCACTTTAGATTTATAATGCACTTATCTCCAGAAGAAATAAACGGTTTAAAAAATAATAATTCATCATTATACCATCGCTTTAAAGTTGCAAGCTGTTTTTTGCAAAGTTGAAGCTGGTTTTTTTTTTTTTACAATCTCCATTTTAGTAATGAGAAAACTCTTGCATAAATAAGTAAAAATTGCTCAAGTAGTAAGCTGTCATCAAGAGAACCAAGAGCCCTGGTTTTCAGTAAAGTATAGTTTATCCACTAGACATCTTCATCCGCAAGGCTAGGTTCAGACAGGGAGCCATGCCACATGGAGAATGTGGCTGAGAAAAGGGGTTTCCAGGCACACCTACCAGAGCCAAACATCACAAACCCTTTCTGGACAGGGATCAAGCCTTCTCATTCTCAGGGAATGCATGACTTGTGCCAGTGTCTGTGCAGTGGAGACAGACACACATCAGGTGTTCCTCTTCCATCAGACCAGAGTGACAACAAAAATCATTTCCTTTTAACTCAACAAGAGTCCTTCTATTCCAGGGATTCAATAACAAGAACTTTTTTCTGTAACAACTATTTACACCTACCCTACTTGGGAGTTCCATGAGATTTCTCAGGAACTAGAGTTTAGTGCAGATTTTTATAACCAGTGTGTCAACTAGTCTCTTCACTCAGTAACAAACCTCCACCAAATCTGCCCCAGAGTTAGTAAAATCTAACAAATAGAGGAATAGTCTTTTATGGAAATATCTAAAGAGAGAAATTTAGGCTGTAAAAAAAAAAAAAAAGATAACTTGCAGAATATACTAAAATACTAGAGAGGTTCTTAGTTGGAAAACTTTGGTAACTGCTAACAAAGATGAACTTTACCCACCGATTCCAACAAGGAGTGTCTGCAGACCTTCAGGGTGACCTTGGAATGTGGTCTTTTCATATGTGCCTGCCGAAGCTCTCTCTGGAAAAAGTTCACCTTGTCCTGGAAGGTCTCAGAGCCTCCTGAGGAAAAGGAAAGGCCATCATGGTTACAGCCTTAAGACAAGACATCAGTGGGTCCCAACTCTATACCTCACGTACCCAAGACACCTGGGACTGCTCCCTTACACATCACAGTCCCTGCTCCACCTTACCTATGTTCTTATGGAGGGAGCGGATGAAAGTGGCTGCTAGAATGTTCCTCTCCTTACAGCTGAGCTCCACGGGAGGTTGGATGCCATCATCCACCACCAGTGTGAGGAGCTTATGGACAGGGTCTGGGCCAAGGTATGAAAACTAGCAAAGAAAAAAGAAAGATCTATAAAACCCTCAAAGCCAGCAAAAACCCTCCATAATCCTACCCCTCTGTACCAACCAAGAAAAACAATTTCAGCCTGTTTTCTCCAAGCCAGTATCTACCAGGAGTACATTCCCTTGTTTTTCACCTCAGTGCTCTATAATTCAAATGTTATTTTAAATCATTTGAGTAGCAGGGACTGTATTTAGTAAGGATCAGAGGCAACACTACAGACCTTCCAACGTAAGATGAATGAAAGTATTAAGGGGATAGAAAACAGCAAAAAATCACTGCCTGAAGAGGCTGGGCAAACTGATTGGAGAAAAGTCATTTTTATAAAATAACAATGGATAACCTCACTAAACTAGTCCGAAAATGGAGATGATTGTGCTGAGCCCCACAGCAGCAAACTGAAACATAAGTTTCCATTCCAGGAAATGCCCAGCTTTCCAGGAGCCGAAATCCAAGCCAATCGATTGACTCTCCTGGAAAAGGAAACCCAAGCTGGCCAGTCAGGACTGTCTGCCGTTACAAAAGTTTCTCTGCCTGCACTGCACTTTGAAACTCTGGTCAGAACAGACGTTCCCAGTTCATGAACTGTAAGATAAAGCTTATGAGTTAATACACAAATTTAATATTGTGGAAATTTTGTTTTTTAACAGACATGATCATGCTTTGGGCAAAAGTTTAGATATTCCAAAAGTCCAGAAAAGTTTAAAAGATGTTTTTGTCACACCTTAAAGACACAAACAAAGTAAAACTCAAACGATGGAAAAAATACATCAAGCAAACAACAATCAAAAAAGAGTAGGAGTGGCAATATTGATCTCTGACAAAAGAGACTTTAAAGAAAAATCCACTACAAAGGATAACGAAGAGCACTATATAATGATTAAAGAGTCAATACACCAGGAGGACAAAACCATAATAAATATTTACGCATCCAACGACAGGGCTCCAAAATAAATAAAACAAACTCTAACAGCACTGAAAAGAGAGACAGACAGCTCCACCATAGTAGTAGCAGACTTCAACACACCACATTCGGTAAAGGACAGAATATTCAGAAAGAAGCTCAATGAAGACACAGAAGATCTAAACGCCACAATCAACGAATTTGACCTCATAGACATACACAGAACACTCCACCCAACAGCAGCCAAGTATACTTTCTTTTCCAATGCGCATGGAACATTCTCCAGAATAGACCACATATTAGGACATAAAGCAAGCCTTAACAGAATCCAAAGCATCAAAATATTACAAAGCATCTTTTCTGCATAAAGCCATAAAAGTAGAAATCAGTAACAGAAAAAGCAAGGAAAAAATCAAACACATGGAAACTGAACAACACTTTGCTCAAAAACTACTGGGTTATAGAAAATTAAGGATGGAATAAAGAAATTCACAGAATCAAATGACAATGAAAACACATCCTACCAGAACCTTTGAGACACAGCAAAAGCAGTACTCAGGGGTCAGTTTATAGCAATAAATGTACACATCCAAAAAGAAGAAAAGGCCAAAATCACAACATTAACTCTACAACTCAAACAAACAGAAAGAGAGCAGCAAAAAAAGAAAGCAAATAATAAAAATTAGAGCAGAATTAAATGAAATAGAAAAACAACTGAAAGAGTTAACAAGACCAAAAGCTAGTTTTTTTGAAAAGATCAACAAAATCGATAAACCACTGACCAAAACGACAAAAGAAGAACAGGAGAGGAAGCAAATAACCCGAATAAGAAATGAGATGGGTGATATCACAACAGACACAGCTGAAATTAAAAGAATCATAACAGAATACTATGAAAAATTGTACTATAACAAATTTGAGAACCTAGAGGAAATGGACAAATTTCTAGAAACTCACTACCTACCTAAACTAACACAAACAGAGGTAGAACAACTAAATAAACC